AATTGAACTCCAAAACATGAAACTATCATACTTTGTTAAAACCATTCCCCTATTTATACCACATCTTCTTTACCCATGCATCAATCAATTGATGGACACTTGGCTGCTTCCATAGTTGGACTATTTTAAATAATGCTGCTGTAAACATAGAGGGTGCATGTATCCCTTTGAATTAGTGTTCTTGTACTCTTTGGGTAAATACCTATAGTGCCATTGCTGGATCATAAAGTAGTTCTATTTTTAAGTTTTTGAGGAACCTCCATACTCCACAGTGGCTGCACCAGTTTGCATTCTCACCAGTCATGCACCAGGGCTGCCTTTTCTCCAAATCTTCCCCAACATTTGTTGTTATTTGTATTGTTGATTTTAGCCATTCTGACAGGTGTGAGGTGATATCTCACTGTGGTTTTGATTTGCATTTCCCTGATGATCAGTGATGATAAGCATCTTTTCATGTGTCTGTTGGCCATCTGAATGTCTTTGGAGAAATGTCTGTTCATGTTTCTGGCCATTTTTAATTGGATTATTTGTTTTTTGGGTGTTGAGTTTTATAAGTTTTATATATTTTGGATAGTAATCCTTTACTGTATATGTCATTTGCAAATATCTTACCCCATTCCATAGGTTGAGTTTTAGTTTTGTTGATTGTTTCCTTCATTGTGGGGAAGTTTTTATACAATGGAGTATTATTTAGCCATAAAAAAGAATGAAAGCTTGCCTTTTGCCATGACATGGATAGAGCTAGAGAGTATAATGCTAAGTGAAATAAGTCAGAGAAAGGCAAACACCATATGATTTCACTCATGTGGAATTTAAGAAACAAAACAAGCAAAGAAAAATAAATGAGAGAGATAGAGATGGAGAGAGACAAATCAAGAAACAGACTCTTAATTATAGAGAATAAACTGATTGTTACCAGAGGGGAAGGCCGAGGGGTGTTGGGTTAAATAGGTGATGGTAATTAAAGAGTGAACTTGTGAAGAGCAGCAGGTGATGTACAGAAGTGTGGAATTACTATACTGTACACCTGAAACTAATATAACACTATGTTAGCTAACGGGGAGTGAAAAAACTTAAAAACGAAAACCATTCCCTTATTGATGGGTATTGAAAATGCTTCTAAACTTTTCTCTCTATAAATAATACTTCAGTAAACCTCCTTAAGCACATTGTTTTTATTTTTATAGGGTAGATTCCAAATCAGATTATGGGGTCTAATTTTAGGATCCAGTAGATATTGTAAAATTACTTTAAAAATGTCGCATAAAGTCACATTCTGACCAGCAATATATGTGAGTGCCCTTATCCCAATAGTGACATCCCTGGGTATTAAAAAAATTTTTTTAACATTCTTTCTTCCTTTATTTTTTAATTTTTAAAAAAGATTTTATTTATTTATTTGACAGGGAGAGAGAGCACAAGCAGGGGGAAGGGTAGGCAGAGGGAGCGGGAGAAGCAGACTCCTCTCTGAGCCAGGAGCCCGATGTGGGGCTAACATTCTTTATTTTTTAAATGCATAATATTCTGACTTCTAGTACAGTTAAGAATTTTTTAATCACGTTTTTGCATTTCCTCTTCTTGGGGAGTTTGCAGATATCCCCAAGCTGACAATGGCAGGTTTGAGAGTGGGAGCCAAGACATTCTACACAGGGTCAGTTTCTTTGATACTCTTCCCTTCTTCCTAGGCTCCACCCTCCCATCAAATCCCTGCTTTTTCTTTTCACAGGGAGCCCACTAAGCCACTAATTATCTTTCACCATTCTGGCAGGTCTCTTAAGTTTTCTTCTGGAATTATAGTCATCTGTTTATTTCCTTTGCACATTTGGCTACTTAGTAGTCGATTTTTTCCTTAACTATTTGATGTAGTTCTGTGCAAACTAGGCCATTAACAATTTGCTTTATATAATATTTTTAAGAAACAAATGATAAAAGTTACTATTTTACTTAATAATCAACCCAATTTGAACAAATTTTATTTAATTTTAATCATATTAATAATTTAAAACAAGCGGTATCATTTTTCTCTTTGTTTTTGCTGCTTTTAGAAACTCACGCAATTTAACATCATGCATTTTCAGTATAATGCTATATAATAAGTCAACTGCAGAAAAGCCACTAATAAATATTATTTCATTTAATAACAGCAAAGAAACTGTAAGGATTTAAGTAGCTTATATGAAAGTTAAAAATTTTCCAAACTTGGATATGGATTTTTTTTAAGTGGGGGGGCTTTCTCTCAAGAGCTCCTATTTCAAAAGCCAAATGGGATTTCAAACTACAAGTAAATAAATGTCAAAGCCTCTTGGCCTCTGCTCTGCCATTCTTTGCCTGAAATCCTGCCAAAATTAAATTTTCCATTCAAGGACTGGCATTTACTAAGCTTATTTTTTTAAAGACTCACTTTCAAAAGTAGTGGAAATTCTGTGCAACTTTTGACGTTCCTCTCTGTGGATAGAACAGCTCCCTCTCTAGACATTTTCCACAGGGGTAACTTTTTCTGAAAAACAAATTTTCAGTCCTTGAAATATCTTCAGCATCTAGGTCTATTGGTTTTTTCCCAGTGCCAAGCATAAAGATAAAACAGCAGCCAAGCTAAAAGCTAGTGTTTCACTAGGTATCACAGAACAAAAAGGAGAGAGAAAGGGCAGAAGAGAAAGTGGGAGAAAAGAGCATGGTCCAATAGTTCACTTGCTAGAGGGGGACATTTATCTCAGAAAAATTGTGCTGTCTCAACAAAACTGAGCTGTAGCGAGACTCACTGTCTGCTTGTTCACATAACATCATTTTCAATTATTGTTAAGATCAAATAGTTAAGAGCTGAGTGCGTTTAAAGAATCCCAAGGCGGAAATATGGAATCCCCTCACTACAGAGTAAAATCGGAGGATTAGGGCGCCGCTTCTTTTTGCCGGTCCAGCATTGGTGGGGAGAAGGGGTAGTGCTTTTTGGGAGCCTGTGAAAAGAGTGAGGACTTGGGAAATGGAAACTAAAACTGTCAGCCAGAAAAGTCCTGCAGTATCCCTAAATGAAAGTTCAAAAAGTTAACAAAAAAACTGTGGGATAAATTAAAGGTAAAATTGAAAACTACAGAAAGTTAGGTGAGAAAACTGAAATCTATCTGGGATTGAACTGTTTGCACTTCTAAAAGCAATAGCTTGAAGCAGCAAGCAAGTTACTAGTCTGTCCTTATGCTTTCTCCCCACTCTCCTTTTCTCTTCCTTTCCTCTTTCGCAGCTTTTCTCGTAGGCAGTGCGCCCTGAGATTGTCGCCCTGTGAGCATTCCTTTAATTTCCGAGTTATTTCTTTTCCTCTTGTCCTCAGACCTAACCCTCCTTTTCTTCAGATAGTATTTGTTCAGGGACGAATCATAGAGGAGGTAGAGGGATAGAAAAAAGTTTTTTGGTTTGGGAAACTTGGGCCTTTGTTGTGTCATTTCCCCTGCCCCTCCACGCCCCCAAGCACGTGACCAAGAAAGGCCGGAATTTTGTGAATGGAGCCGAAAGGTGGCTGCAAGGGCGGGAGAAGCTCCGCCCCTTCCCCTGAAGCGGCCAATCTCCTAGCGGAGCGCTGCGGGGTCAGCAATAAACAACAATGGGCTGGGAACATACGATACGTTATTGGCTGAGGCGAGAACCTCGCGGGGGCCTACCTTAAAGCTCCGCCCCCTCTCGGTTACCCTGGATACCCGTCGGGCTTTGGCCGTTGAGAAGGGCTTTGGAAACTGTTGCTCACGTTACAGAGGCTGGTTTATCCCAGGAATGCTGGGCGGCGGGACACTCTTGCTATTGGCTCCTCGCCTGATTTCACCCTCAGAATGTACCCCAGAGCCTCACTATTCCGCTTGGAGACCCAGGCTGTGCCTGGAACCCCTCCGTGGCCGAGGTTAAAGTGCAGTTCCCGCCCAAAATGCTTGTTAGGTGCTCGCGTTTGCACCGGCTACTTGGATTAACTAGTTTGAGGGAATGCACGGTGGGTGTCCTTGCTGTCCACAGTTATTGGGTGTTTCCCCAGTGATACTTTTTCTGTTGTTGTTTATTTAATTTTTTTTTTTTTTTTTGACAGAGATATTTACCCTCCTAGTTCCCTCCATGGGTCCGGAATTGAGTCTTATGGGCTCACACTCTGATTTCAATGCGTCTCCATCACGTTCCATTTAAGGAAGGAAACTTTCAAATAGAAATTGAGAACTGCAGCACGTTTCCCTAAGGCGGAACAGCTGCCGGAAACGTCCTTTGGTCTCTAGCTCTGGTCGCCATCAGGATCACAAGTAAATTTCAACACCACTAAGTAAACTGGTCCCATCCCCACGGCCTCCCATCCACTGTTGGGCCGAGGCTGCTTCCTAAGTGACTTTTTACAGCTCCAAGCCTCATAGGCGCGTCAGGGCAAGTGGTTTCAGAGTTGCAGCCCACACTTTTTAACGTCCCGATCATTGTCCTTGAAACCCGAGCCCCATCACCGCTCGCCCCCAGCTCCGGGCTCTGGCGGTTTAAAAGCTGGAGAGGAAGTGAAAGCGTCAAGTACAGTAAGTGACACCCTCCGCCTCCGTGTGTACATAACAAAAGCTCAGGAAACGTGCGGGTCCCTAGGATATCCGAGCCACCCCATTCCCTCCCTGGTCCTCCCCACCTCCACAGTGGACTGGAAGCACCTTGTCGCAGTGCACACGTGGGACACCTTTTTTTTTTTTATATATATATATATACTTTTCTTCACCTAGATTTCTCTGTGGTCCTGCTAAATTTCCCTCCCAACGCAACCACTCCTAACTAGCAGTTCCTCAGTTCCCAGGTGCTTTTACTCATAGATTCTTTATTGTACTGTCTCATGAATGACAGGATCTTGTTTTACTTGAGGGTGGCCGTTAAAAAGTGGGGCTGGGTGTTGGAAAACGGGAAAAGAATTTGGGCCAAAAGCTTAGTGGGAACGAGTCTATAGAGCGAGGTGGGCTCCTTATCAGGTTAAAAGTAGGGGGGCTGGAGATGTTGAGGGAGAGGATTCGAGGGAGTAAAGAGGCATGGGCTTGGTGGGTAGTAGCACTTCAGAGTATATGCCAGAACCGAACAAAAGTGATTTAGGGCATCAGCCCAATAGTGGAAGAAACACACCAGTAAGGAATACTAGCGACTCGATACACATGGCTTCAGTGTCCCGGACGCCTTAACGATAAGCAGAGCGTTAGGAAGGCAATTGATTTCCTCTGTGGCGTTTGCAGGCTGTGGATACTGCGCCAGCCCGCGGAGCATCCGCTAGGAAGAGGGGCGCGAGAGATCCACGAGAAGGGGCAGCAAGCCGCCTGATTGACAGCTCGAAATCTGATCTTGTGAAAGAGACGCGGAGCCAATGGGAGGCAGCGATCCATCAGTTTGGATTGGAGGCCCCTGGAGGAGAAGTAGAGGAAAAACCACCGAATTGAGCTCTGTCAGAGGCGCTTTCGGCTTCCAAAGGGGAAGTGCTGGGCAATAATTAATGTTTTTATTAAATTTGGAGGGAATTTTTTGCAGCCGTTCGCCTAGCGTGGCCTTCAGGTGGGTCTTTCCAACAACTTTTTATGTCTCTCCAGATAATTGCATGGTTGTGGGTTGCAAAAACTATCCTTACGAAAGAGGTGTCTCCGTCTCTTTAGTCCCGTTAGGTGCAAAGCAAGTCTCGTTGATCGCCATTGCTAGTTTTGCACACGTTTGCGAATCAGAGCTGCCCGGGCTACACCGACCGCGCAGGGAAACATCGAGAGTGTAAATAAATACATCGCCTCTTGTTCGGATTTTTGCTACTGCCGAAAATATGTAAATTGTGAACTCTCTTGGCTCTCTTTGGATCCAGGTGAAGGAGGCGGTGTAGGGAGGGTTATTTTTGTGAATGGGACTGTCGGAGGGTAATTAGCTATGCAAATTCAAGAGCTTCATTCATGATTTTTTTTTTTTTTTTTTTTTAGCCTAAAAGCCATCTTGTTCCCCTCTAGGTTGATAGAAGTCCAGATCCTGAGGAAATCTCCGGCTAAATGCTCAAAATATAAAACACTCAGCTGAGATTTGCGAAGAGCAGCAGAATGGATGGATTTTATGACCAGCAAGTGCCTTACATGGTCACCAATGTGAGTGATCAGTTCGAAAGTTGCTGTTTATAAACTTGACTCCAACGGGGGGGGGCGGGGAGGAGGGAGAGAACGAGAAGGGAGGGGGTAAGGGGGCTGGGATTGCAGATACTTTATCTGCTTTGTTGCCACTGTAGGGCGACTCTGCTTCTAGAAGCCCAATCTTCAAAATGAGCTTACCTTTCAGTGATTTGGATAAGGCATAGTTTTGTTTTTAAGACCCCCCCCCCTTTTTGTTCTGATTAAAGTGCCCAAGATGAGTGGAAGAGGAGACGGAGGGCAGCAGCAGCTGCTGCACTCAAAGTTTTTGGCTGGGTTTGTCTGCCACATTGAAAAGAATGAAGTTGAGACAAATGCTGACACTTTTTGTTTACATGGGGTGTTTTTGTTTCTTTTTTTATCGTCTCGTTTTTTCCTCATGTTTTTTATTTCACCACTCTATTTTTACTTTTGTTTTGGGGGGTGGTATCAGAGAGAATAAAATTCACGGTATTTTAGTCTAGCTTTGATCCAGCTAAAAACGACTTTAAGTGTGATTGCTTAATGTTGTTTTGATGCTGAGATGCCATGAATACATGACTGATAAGTAGTAGTGTGTTACGCTTGGCGCTGGGAAGCAACTCTCCCTGGTTGTTGAATTCTCAGCCTAAGCTTTCACTGTCAAGTGAACGCTGAAAATGAGTATTGGAATTGATACTATGGACTTTTATTTTCCTATTTAGAGAGAGGCTCCAGCAGACTTATGTATGCATGTGTTTTTTTGTGTGTGTGATATCTGAGGTTTACATTTTTTTAAAGGATTTTATCTTTCCCTTTGTAGAATCAGCGTGGGAGAAATTGTAACGAGAAACCAACAAATGTCAGGAAAAGAAAATTCATTAACAGAGATCTGGCTCATGATTCAGAAGGTGAGGTTTGATTTGGGGCTGAATCCCCCCTCTTTACCTATACCCCCACCCTCATAAAGGAGAGGAGCACTTCAGTCTTAGCTTAAAAATAATAATCTTTCAAATTACTGCATTTAACTGAGACTTTTACTTGGAGCAATTAACATAATGTGACAATTTGCATTGGAGGATATTTTATGGCCCTGTCACAAACTAATGAAAGAAGGAAATAAACACTTAACAGTGACATCCTTCTTTTAATCATTCTTTTGTGTTTAAGTACTCTTGTCCATATGGCACATAACTAATCCCATACACTGAGGTAACAATTTTAAAATATCCAACACCGTGGGACAAAGTAAGCAGCTAGGTATACTACTTAATTTCTCCCTTCTACTTTATTAGAAGTTAAATGGTGTAAATCATGGTTTGCTTTCCCATTCTCCATACACTAAAACCATTTACTGTTATCAAACTTTTCATGGATGATTTTGATGACTACATGGTGAGGTCATAATATCTTGTTTATAGGCCTTCAAGTGTTCACTGAATCATAATTAAGGCCTAATTTATAATTAGAATACCTATTTGGGAAATTAGGTTACAGATTTTTTTTTTTTTTTTAATGCACTGTTAGTTAGGAGGTCAGTATGTTATAAAGTATTCCACCCGTACGGGAGCATTCATAATGGACTTAATATACTTAGATTTAATTATCTAAGTTCAATTTGCCATTTTGATTAGGCATGTTGAATTCTGAAACTTAACTCAAATCTTCATACATATTGGACACCCTCTCTCTCCCACAATGACAGAATGCACAGTTTTGGACTTGATAATAAACAGGTGCCAGGAAATTATCTCACTTTGACTTTTGTAAATCTACTAATGTAGAAATTTTCCTCTAAGATCTTGTATTTAAAAGTTGTCCCTTTTAGTTTTGAGGCATTGAAACTCAAAACATACAGTGCTTTAAGAATTATACCATGTACTGTTTCATCTTTTCTATAAGGTTCAGAAGATAAAAAGAAAGTGATGGTCAGCCTTTCTACTCTTTCTTCTGCAAGAGTTGACTCTATTTAAGAAAGGTTTACACAGATAGACACACCTTCACCTCAGCCTTTTTGTGAATCCTAGTGTATGTGTGTCTAGTGTCCCTGAGCTTATTTATTAAGTTATTTGTTAAAAGGGGGAAAATATTGCCTTCGTTATTTAATTCACTAAAATAATTTCTTAAAGAAGTATTGCTTAATAGCCATTAAAATGGCAGGATTATTGAGCTATTTAAGTCATGAATCCTATTTTCTTCTTATATTGACTCCCCCCCAAATTAAATTGATACTTAGTACCAATTTCATGACAAACATTTCCATTTAATGGAGCCTAAAGGTTTTTCAAATCTTTTGTTTATGTCTCTGACTTGTTTTTTAGAACTCTTTCAAGATCTAAGTCAATTACAGGAAACATGGCTTGCAGAAGGTAAGGCAAAAAAATTGCTTTAAAAGGAGGGGAAAAGCAACTCTAGAAGGGGAAAAAAAAAAAGTCCTGAACTTGCTGTCTTAACGTTCAGCCCAATTAATTGAGCTCTAAAAGAGCCACCTCATGTGTCATGCATACATTAGAGTCTCTGATGAGTTTGTCTTTAGGGAATCCGGGGCTGCACTACCCAGTGTCATCACAAATTACCAGGAGAAATTGCTTCCAGCTCACAATCACATCTGCTTTTGGCAAGAACTAATGCACCAAGACTTCAAGTTCTAAGCCTCTGTTCAGATTTTAATTGCAATTGATCAGGTTTATATTATTGTACCTCGAGAGACCTCCTAGAGCCAGAACCCGGCTTGCTGTTTCTTTTACAGCAGCGCATATCATTATTTGGTGTTCTGGTGGAGGACTTTTCTGATGGCAGAAATTAGTTTCTCTGGGTTCATCAGGACGGGATGCTTCAAGATTTAAGTGCAAGTGTCTTCTTTCCACCGTGTTCACAACACAGAACGTTAGGTGTGTATCCAATACTTAGGAAATCTATGGCTTTAAAAGAAATCTTTGGGGGATTTGAGGACTTAAAGAAAGGTTTTCTGTTTGTTACTGTTATGTGATATTTGCTGAAATTGATTTTTGCTTTTGTGTCACTTTTACTAGGATTTATTTAATATAGCAAGGTGACGTGTGAAGGCATTACTCTTATTTTTAATTACTTTTTAGTAAAATTTTGTGTTGCAATCTATTGTATCTTTTACTGGGTGAAACTTTATTTCATAGGAACAATGAGATACTGCTTCAGTACAGCTTAATACAACTTGAGAAATGCCTAATGTTGAGGGACTTTTGTTGGTGTCCATAATTTGAAATTTTTCTTTTGGGTTTGTTATAAATGTGAAATACTAATTTTGTCCTATGATGTGTTTTATGGGAAGAACAAAGAGAAAGTTATATCTATTTAAGCATTGAGTATGATTTGTATCTCTGTCTGTATGTTATCTGGGAAACATGCAATTTTTGGAACAGATTTTTAAGGTTGTTAAAAGAAGGGAGAGAGTCTCTTTAAATGGAACCCAAGTGTTGCTGTTGCTACTTTGAGCCAGACTGCAGTGCTTTATCGGTGGTCTTGCTTGCAGTTCATCAAGTTGCTGTTAGCATGTAAAATAAGTTTCTTTGTTTTGCTGATATTCTAGTTTTCCAAAAAGCTTTTGCAGTCTTTATAGATCTTTTAAGTTAAATAGCTCTTCTAGTAGCCCTTTGAAAGGGTGATTGTATTTGCGTGTTCATAAAAGGTAAGTATTAATGAAAGTTTTAGTTATATTTAAAGGTCATTTTGCTTGTCTCTGTAAATGAAACTTATTGCAATAGATTACTTACTATTGCAATGTAAACCATATATTCAAACCTAACTTTTTCAAGAAAAATTTGCACAGAGGTCCTTGTGTTAACTTTGATTTGTTAGTTTTGCAAAGTTGAAGGTTGTGAGGACATTACATTCATGAGGAAATTTGTTCGCTTACCTAAAATAACTTGAAATATCTATTTTAATTGTTCTCGAAGGTTTGTTGGTTCTTAGATGTTTAAGTCTCATTGATTCCAAGTCATTGCACTTGCTGGCAGATTTTGCATGTGCATAGCAACTCTGTTTCTGGAATTTTAAAATGTGGATTCTGTGACAGACTCTTGCCATTTTATAATTAGTTTTAGTACAGTCTCTGACTTTTGACTTGTTTTGTTTATTTGTCGCTCGGTAAGTGATTTGAATAACTCTCCAAGTTAATCTTTTAAAACTCTGCACTGAATATATTCTTACCTATGATTATTAACATACCTGTAAATCAGATTTGAAGATTTAACTTTATATAAAACAAACCTAGAAAATGACTGATGTATTTGGAGGAACATGGACTTTTACTTAGAAAATGATTCATAAGCTTAAATAAGTTAAGGAATTAATCCTCGGGGTGTTTTATTGAATACCCAGGTGGGCGACTGTTTACAAACTGGATAAGACTGCATTTTAGAATAATGTAAACAGTTTTCAAATTAGTTTATATTAATTTATCCTATCATGATATAAGCAAAATATTGTTAATATGACTTTTAAAATTTAATAATGGAAAGAGAGTTCTTTTTTATTTTTTACTATTTGTTAATAGACTGCATATTTATTTTTATTTTTAGCAATTCTGTATCATTATATTATTTGCTTTAGCATTTTAACTTGACTTATCCCACATCTTGAACTAAGAAGAGATCTTAAAATTACACTAGGTTATTTGTAGCTAGATTTGTTCATTTCTGTTCTTCTGGACATCCAGAAATTAAAACATTGCCAAATTGGCAGAGTAGGGACTGTTTATATATTTCTTTTCATAATGCTTGGTAGCCAAGAAAGTGACCATGGAATTTTAAGGCATCTTGACCCTTTTAAAAAAGATCATTGGCAATTAACTAAGTTTCTCTCATGAGTTAGAATCCCACTGAGAAGTTATACAGATCTAAAAATCTTATTAGACGTGAGAGTCAAGTTGTGTCAGAAGAAAATCATGTTTTTAAAAAGTGATCAAAGCCCTGAATATTTGGGAAATGATATGTCCCAAGATGTTTGTTTTTTCTTATAAGAATTTTTATAAATTAGATTCAAAGTGCAGCATATGGGTTAGTCATAGGTAAATTATTATGGATTATGAAATGTGTTTTATGTCTAAGGACAAATTAGGGTAGATAAGGTAGCACTTTTTGAGGGTGAGGGTTGGAGCCAGTATTTTCAGTTTGCTAAAGTCCTGTAATTTGGGGGGATGCCTGGAAATATATTTTTAATTTCCAAACGGAGATCAAAAATATGTTTGTAAAGGATGTAACTTTGCATTGGTATCACTTTCTAAGTACTGACACGGCAATTTAAATGTTTCTAACGTGTCTACCACAATTAAATATATTCACCTACACCTCATCCTTAAGAAAATTGAAAAGATAATGTTTTCAGTGACCACAGTAGCACTTAAAAAAAAAAAAGTGTCTATTTTAAATTTTGCCATAGCTACTTTATATTATAATTTTACTATGTACAATTCTTCATTGATTCTTTGTCTTTTGAGTTAGATTGCTACTGACAGAAAGGCAATTTCCATTATTTGATCCCATGAAATCACGAGTTCATATATCCATCCTGTCAGCATCATGGTAACGTCTTATTCTTAATAGCCTGTTTTAAGTGGTACTGTAGAGGGTGGTGTCCTAGAAATTCATGGTTAAAATGGACCCTTTTGTGTGTGAGGGAGAGAAACAGAAGGATATAAAATTGAGTTTGAAAAGGATTGCATTCTTCTAAAATTGCTGATTAGAACTTACCTGCTAACACAACTTGAAGAGAAATAATAAATTTCATATGTATCTAATGTAAATGCATAGCAACTTTTGAACATTGTTTTTGGCATGGATCTAGACGTTCTTGAGGTTCCCTTTCATCAGTGATATTAAGGACAAAAGTCAACAGTGATTCGCTGCCACAGAGCGGGATGTTTTTCAGTGGTGTTACATAGTAAGTCAAGTTTCCTGCTGCCCCCCCACTTGAATCAAAGTTTTATCTCCAAGAACAACCTTTCTTCACCAAAGGTTATTACTTCATGCAGACAAGGCTTTTTTTTTTTCTTCTTTTGTTTTGTGTGACCTTCAAATAATAGGTTGAGTTAACAGTAGGGATGTCATTATATCCTCTCCATTTACTTCAGTAGCTGATACTAAATTTACATTCAAAATAATTTCTTATGAAGTTCCTTTAAATAATGTGTGCTGTTGTTTCTCACTATCCATGTCATCCACAATGCCCAGTAGTCATAATGTACTCATTTTTATTTTTCAAACAATTATACTGTTTCTTGTTAAAATGGAACATAAATTGGGTATGTGCTCATTAGTTTTTTTTATGTGCTACGGTAAGAGCTAAAGACTTTAAAAACTACATTATTTTATGTGGTTTACATAAAAAAGGAAATGAGAATTAAGCATTAAATTACAGAAGTCCATACTTTTTCTTAGTATTGAGCAAGAATCACACATTTTGTGTGTAGGGGGGAGGGGTGCTTCTACTCCTCTTTTTGTTGTACCAGGAAATACTCTCAAATATGAAAGGAAGACTTCTAATTTGGACTTGATTAAAAGATAGCAGGTGGAGTAAATGTATTATATTTTAAGTATTTATTGGAATTATATAAATGTCTTTTCATCTAGGCTCTACTTGCAAAATAAAAAAAAGTTTGTTAAAAATAGAACTCGGATATGGTATAGCCTCGGTATACTTTTCCAGAGGGTCCTGATCAGTGTTAATGAAATATTGCTTTTCTGGTTCGGTTATAAGAAATGTGTCATTTCTTGAATTTCATAATATAACTTCATTCCCTTTGACCTGTGTAGAAGCTTGTAATTAAAATTAATAATAATAATAATAATGTCAGACCTCCGTAGTACTAGGAAACAGAAACAACAGCTCTTAAGCTATGCTTGTTTCCAAGTCCCTATAGGTCAGTGTAGAGTTAGGAGTGGAAGCTGATCTGAGACTGAAGACAACTGAAACTTACTGTTTTCCTTTTTTTAGAGCATCAAGTATTAAAGATGTTTCTGTCATGGGGAAATAGCTCCCCCCCCCTTTTTTTGGTCTCTTTAAGTATGTTTATACTATTGTATTAATTAATGCTTATATATCGGTACAATCATTTTTAATTTTAAAAGCGGATGTGGTATAAAACCAGGCTTAGTGGCTTCATGATTATTTTGTTCCATGGCTTGAAGCTTCATTTCAGGATTAAACAGAATACCACCGTGCAAAGGTTGATTTTCCTGTTGTTTTACTTTTATGTAAAATAAAATTCAAGTTTATTCAGAGAAACTTGTTGCTAATTCTTTGATTCAAAATGAAATGCTACAAAGTTCAGCAATAATCTATTATAATCTCAGGATAAAGAAAATCTGAATAATAGGCAAGAAAAATAAGACATTTCTTCAATGATTTTTTTCCTCCCTCACTCCCTCCACTCTCTAAGTTCCTTCCTTCCTTCCTTTTTAGTTTTATACATTTATGTTTTTGTGATAACTTACCCTATAAAGCCGGATGGGTTAAATATATATCTATGTATCTATAGAGAGAGAGGTAGATACATAGATAGATATAGATGTCTATCTAGCTATAGATAGATTTAATTTTGTAAACTTGTCATTTATTTAAATGTATACCTTAATGGATCTGAGCTGTATTTGAGATAGAGCAATAAAATTGGTGTGTTTATTGCAAGTTCAAGTTGACTTGCTTTAGCTCTCTGGAAGGGCGTGACATGAAAAGATTGCGGTTGGGCCACATGGCTCATGCTGGACTGTGTTTTTGTGAATGGAGGCAGAACTCCAGTTCTGCCTGCTTGTCTGGAGGAATTGCTGAGGAGATCAGCTGTCTCATTCACAGGCAGAAAGAATGACTCATACATCTTCCGCCTTGTTTGGCTCCAGGTCATTGTTACAGTGGATAGAACTGGTTTTAATTAAATATTAACCCCTTTTATACTTGACGTTTGTTCCATTTGTAATTTTTCCACTTTTTTCCTAGCTTTAAAAGAAAACTCCACGGACCTCTAGTTTGTAAAGAGTGGGGGGGGTGCTTTTTACTTGCCTGCAGCCAACCTTGGAAAATATTTAAAACTCTTACCTTTTCTTAAGTAGTTAGTATTTCATTTGAAAGTTTAAGCATAAAATAAAGGGACTCTATTTAAAAATTGCCCCCACCCCCAGAAATGTTAGTTAAGAAATTATGCTGAAACTGAGAATGAGGGTTAGTGATTCTGTGACATCTAGATCATGATTAATATTTTCATGAGTTTGTTTCTTATAATATGTATTGCTATGCACTAAAAGAGAGAGAAAAAAAAAACACACAACAACTCTGGATAATAATCTAGGTAAAGCAAAGAGCTGAGAGAGCAGATACTACCCTTTTAAAGCCTGAGTCCTGAGACTTGATGGCAACTTGTCTATTAATGTGCAATGAACTGATAGAGCTGCTCCAGCTATTACCAATAAAATCCACATGCTTAATCTTCTTGAAAGCCTTTTATTGGTCTTTTGGTCTATACTTTTCCCCCTTGTCCTTTCTTACTCTTCCCCTTCCTCTTTAATTACATAGTGTGGGGAAACATTTTCATTCCCCAAAGGTGATTATTCCAAGCCTAGTTTATAATAGATAGCAGTGAAAATAGTGTTTTTTAAAGGTTGGCCGCTATGGTTAATTTTCCACTTTGGAGTTGGTATGGCTTGCCACAAATTTTCAGGCGGCTGTAGTTTGCTATTTCACAGAATTCCCGTGAATTGAGAAAAAAGGAAACGTATGATATGAGTGTGGCAATACTTTGTCATATTTTCCTTGCCCAGATCCAACGTGTGTTTTTCGTTAACTGCTTTCCTTTTACTCTAACTTGAAATTAGAAGTATACTTAAGCCTTTGTCTATTTAAGTAGCATGCTGCTTCATTTGGTCTATTCCGTTTCTTAAGATTAGCTTCTGTGAAAATGTGAGTCATATGTTTTTTGTTAAAATGCTGTAATATGTTCAGGCATAAGTGTGAAGTATTTATTCAGTATGTTAGAGAGTTAGAACAGAAATAGCAATTCTTATAGCAATTCTTATTCTTTTTACAAATTGTTATGGACCTATTTTCTTTAATTTGTGAAGTATAACTTCCAGCTTCTTCTAAAATTTGGCTTTACCCCCCCCATGCTTATCCCAACACATACCACATATCTACCAGTGATTTTTATGTCTTTCTTGCAGTGAAACTTATCACAGAGTTACAGTTTTCTTTTATGATATGATAGTAAGGAAAAAATAATGTCTGGCCTTTAGGACATTCATACCAGCATATTTAGTTACAAATAATTTTTGTTACTCACCAGCTATTTTTAACTATTCCTGTAAAGGGATATTACATTTTTATTAGATTCTTGCAAATGTTGGCTTTTTTTAAAAGCATAGTAATTGCTGTGGTTGATAATTTTGCATCTCCATAGTTATGTCTGTTTAGCTGTTAATTTAGAAGGAAAGCCAAAACATGTGGGTATGGTGGAAAAAATGTGTAGGATTTGGTACTGTCTACCTGCTGTTATTTATTAAATAAATATTGAAAACATTTTTGTATTTTTTTTGGTGTGAAGACTTATTTTAAAGACTAAAATAAGATTTTAGACTTATTTTATGTCTAAAATCTCCACTTCTATGAATTTGAGAAAAATGAAGCTTGCTGTAATGTCAAAAATGTTTATAGTTAAGAGAATACTAATGTACACATTTTAGCTGTTATTTTTATCCCTTTCCAATATAATTCAGGAGAAGTGAAGATTTTAAGCTTGCATTGTAATGACTGAAGTAGTTTTGTATGTGTGACTTGAAAGAAATGGGTGAGAGGTGAAGATTTGGAAAAAATAAGTAACATTTAGGATTTAATTTAATCGTCACAGAAAACCCATATTACCACTATTAAACTGATGAATAAAATACAGTTCAAATAGGTTAAAATAGTGTACACACTTTACACAGATAGGAAGTCATAAAACTGTGACTTGAAGTTTGCGTGGCTTTAGTTACTGATGGTAGCAGACATTAGTGGAATATGAAGAGGAAAAAAAAATCTCTTCTTCCATTGTACGCTGATCGTTTATAACTTGAGAGAAAGTTCTTAATTTTTTTGGTGACAGAGGATGGAATTTGTCTTTAATAAGCTGATGTATTGGTGTACAGACAACATTAGGAAATAATTTAATGTCTGGCTGTATATATTTTAACAATTGGCAAGATGATCATTGGTTCTGCTCTTAACAACATGACATAAGTTTTTTTTTTTTTTTTTTTTAAAGATTTTATTTATTTAACAGAGAGAGACATAGCGAGAGCAGGAACACAAGCAGGGGGAGTGGGAGAGGGAGAAGCAGGCTTCCCGCAGAGCGGGAAGCCCGATGTGGGACTCGATCCCAGGACCCTGGGATCATGACCTGAGCCGAAGGCAGACGCTTAACGACTGAGCCACCCAGGCGCCCAACATGACATGAGTTTTATTTAGCCAAGTATTTCTGCTTTTAAAAATGTGATTAAATAAGCTGATACAAAAGAATAATCTTATCTATGTTGCATTTCTTTTTTGTATAAATTTTTAAATATAGAATTTCTTTTTATAGGGATTTTTTTTTAACTCATTCAACTAGCAACCTGAAACTTTTTCCACAGAGAATGGTTATGTTCATAAACATTCCCCATTCACAGTAGGCTCTTTTTAAAAAATTAATTGACATCTATTTTAATACGACTTGACTGGATAAAATATTTCAATATTAGATATTACTAGTAAAGTAATACTAGGAATCGGATCGTAGCTAAAGTAAAATAGGATAGCTCCTCTATTTTTACCAAATTAAAAGGAACTAACTTTTATTTTATGTCGTTTATGTGTGTTTGTGTACGTTTGTGTGTGCATGTGAAAGCTTGTTTTAGTAATATCTTGTCAATTTGGAATAGGTTATTTTGATGTCTAAAATCAACCATGATGAAAATATTTTAGAAGTGAAAAAGTGTACTTGTGTTTTGATTGCTGCCGAATGCATTAAGTCCTTGCTCTTCAGTATTTTTTTTTTCCTTTACTAAAAATAGGGAAGTTATTTGACATGAGGATTGATTAAATAGTGATATTCTTTTCACGAATGTCGTATAGTTGCCAGGAAACTATTTTGCCTGAAAAGATGGGATTTATTTTTATTATTTTTATAATTTTATTATTATGACATAATCACTACAACATATTATTTTCTTCTCTGTGACCAAAATCAGTGGATATGCTTTCACTAAAAAAATACTTTGTAGCATATTTCGGCCAAATTTAGGTCAAGCACTTTTCCTTATGGTAGTCTCATTTGCAATGGACTGAATATACCCAAAACAGGCATTTCCGTCAAAGCAGAGAGATGTGTGTACGTGCACATCATTTGAAAGGATGCTGTAGTTAATATAGCTGGGCTGCTGCAGCACTAGCAATGGGTACATTGAAATACTTCTTACTCCATTCTGGCACAGAAGCCCCGCAGCTAATAGAAGTCCTGTAGCTTCTTCTATTTTGTATGTCTCTTTTATTTCCGTCTGGCACGTGATATTCCAAAGGACCACAACTGCCACAATTATATTTCTGACAGTTACGTTTTCTCATTGACATCGATGGTTGCTTCTATTTTCCCTCCCAAGTATTGTTGTCAATACCATTTTAAATAGGAGCTCATTGGCAAATAATCATAGGTTTGATCTGAGCCGACAAAGATCTTACTTTGACATTCCTTATGCCTTGGCAGTTTCTCTCTCAATTTTTTTTTAATTTTTTTTTTTTTTTTTTCCCCTTCAGCTCAGGTACCTGACAATGATGAGCAGTTTGTGCCAGACTATCAGGCTGAAAGTTGTAAGTATAGTATGACTCATCTCTTGAATTTTTCTGTCTTTCTGGTTTCCTTCTTTCATTCTTTCTCTTTGGTTGGTTTCTACCTCCAGTGTCTGTTCTCATGTTATGTTGGTACCTTTTTAGCGTATAGTCATGAGGTGATTCTGTTTGTGAAGTTGTGACATCAGCAGAATCCTTGTATGATCTGAGCGGAGCTGCAAACAGTAGCTAAGGAAAACTGTTTTGATTAAAAGATGGTCCTATTCTCTGTATTTGGTTAATACCTTTGGAGAAGAAATAGGGTGTGATCCATGAAGGTGCAAGTGTTTACTTCCAGCTTTTTGGTATGTTCATGAGAAAAAGTCTGAATACTGATGGGAGAAAGTCAGTAGTGAAGAGCCATGTGAGACTATGTATTGAATAACTTACAAAAATTTGTTGGCTTGTATTATTTTATATTCACCAACTTTCACCTGCTTTGATGTAATTTTTAGCTTCATTTTCTGCCTCCTGGTTACAGTGACACAAATGGAAGTAGCCCATGGCTTCTCCTAGGCTCCCTTCAGTGTTTCTTTCCCTGAGCCTTGCTCCAGGGCCTGTCAGAGAATGCGTGAGTTGTGATTCATGGGACAGTTGCCTCCCAGGAATCCTTGAGTGAGCGTTATGTCTGTATAAACATGGCTGTCTCCGGCTTTCCTCCTCATATTTATGCTCTGCCATTCTACCAACGAACTGCCGCTGTTGACCTGACGTGTAAATAGTAAAGAAAGGGGTATAAATGCCATCTTGATGATGAAAGTGACCTAATACATTTTCATTCTGTTAGTTACCATGTAGAGCTCTAACTTGTTTCATTTTTCCGGACCATTGACGGTTTCACAGGGGCAGTATCAACAGCAACTAGACATGCTTACTGCCTTACAGCTTATCAAACTCATATTCTCACACATAATCTCACACGTCTAATACCAATACCTATGTGACTTCGAGGAGCAGATGTCTGTGAGCAATGTTTTCCACTTTTCTGTTTGGTATTTTAAATTTCCCAGGTGTCAAGGGTTGGTTGTAAGAAGTTACATCCAGATTTCCTCCTGTGTTTTAGTTCAGCTTCATTAAAAATTTTTTTGTTCAATTGTGGTAAAATATACATGACAGAAAATTTACCGTTTTAACCATTTTTTAAGTGTGCAGCTCAGTGGGACTCACATTGTTGTGTAAACATCAACACTGCCCACCTCCAGAACCTTCTTATCATCTCATTCTCAACTCTGTACTTACCAAAAAATAACTCCTCACTGTCCAAGCCCTGGTAACTGCTGTTCTGTCAGCTTGATTTTTGATCTAAGAAGAGAATTTTATGTGCTGTTTGATGTCTGAATATTGTTATTAGGCAATTTCAAGAAGCCTATTCAGCAATGATATAGACCTTAATTAGATACCTTTAGAAATTTCCAGAAAGATGACAGCCAAGGATGATGGCTAGGCAAGGCCTTCCTTTCTTCTTTAAAATGTGGGAAGGGAATGGTCACATTTCCAGAATTTCTCTTTCTGTGGGACACTGGAGTTCTTTCTAAAAGCTAAACCTGTCATCTGAGTGGGAGAATTATTCTCATTGAGTCATTTTACATCTGAAGAAACTGGTAATGATTTCAATACTCTATCAAATGCCAGGGTAAAATCACTACCAGAAAGAAATTTTTGTTCCTTTTCTTATTTGACCTCTTTTCAGTTTTTCATATTCTTGACTCTTTTATCTCCTTTTAAACTCTTTCTTCTCTTGGTCCACATTGGGATGGTTTTTCCTTTCTCTTTTAACTACTTTGATTACTTCTTCTCCCTCCACTCATCTTCCTTCCCTCGTCTTTCCCCAGGGTTCTGTCCCCAAGGCTTTGCTCTCGTCTAACGTGGGCCATCCCTGCACAGTCCCGTAGAACTATCTGTGATGATAGAAATAATCTGTTTCTGACTATTTGGTAGAGTAGTCACTAACCACGTTGCTCACTGAGCATATGAACTGTGGTTAATGGGACTGAAGAAATGAATTTGTTGTTTTATTTAATTTCTATGACTTTAAATTTAAAGAGACACACGTGGCTATTGGTTGCTGTAGTGGCCAGCACCCTTCTGTACAGTGATGTCTCCTACGCTGTTATCTCTGGCCTGGGTGTCCCCCTGCCCCTGTCTACTGGGCATCTTCCCCTGATCCACCATGTGATCCTTGTGCCAAGTGAGAAAAAACGAAACAGCTCGGGACTCAACCCTCAGCCCTTAGCTGAGCATCAGCATAAAACACCATTACACGTGATGCTCCATGGACAGTTCCCGCTCAGCCAGGCCAATGTGGGAATTATTATTATTATTTTTCCCAATCAACGTCTCTTTTGTACTTCCCTTGCCTTTCCAAGTTGATGGCATCACCATCTAAGCTGAAAATCTTTATCTGCAATTCTTCCCGGTTCTTTACCATAGACCTCCACCTGCTTACCAAGTTGTTGATTCTACCTTTCAAAAATATCTTAATTTTATGGTCTCTACTTAACCTCTATTTGACTGAGTTCACATCCACATTCTGCCTTGACTGATCCTGTGAGTAAGCCTTTTGGTTGGTGTTCTTTTCAGGTTTCCCTCCTCCCAGTCCGTTCTCTGCAGTGGCATTAATGCATTGCTGTCTGACCTTGTTAATTTTCTCCTTAAACTTTCTTCAGAACAAAGTCCTACAGAACATCACTCTACCATCTGGGCCTTGACTTGCTGTTTCAGTTTTAACTCATGCCATCCCAGCACCTGGTTCCTCCCTGTCCCCTGAGCTTGCGCCCTTCTAATTTTTCAATTCTCTAAACAGATGGAGCTGTTTTATGTCTCTCCGCCTTTGCACATGTTGTTCGTTTTGCTTTATAAACTTTTACTTTTGCTTTGTGGTGTTGGTAGAGCTCCTACTCCAGACCTAGCTTAGACTTCACCACATGGAAGTCTTTCTTGACTTTTTCTTGCCACCCTTACCTGCAGAGTTAGACTCTACGGTATCTTGTGTCTTGTACTTACTGTAACATTTTAGATACATGTATTTCTTCAATAAGACTGTAAACCTCTGGAGGATTACGAGCATGTCCTGCCTAGCATGTTATAGAAGTACAGTAAGTAAAATTGTGATCACATAAATGTGGTCAGCTTCTTCATGCTCTTTTCCTCCTAAGTGTTTTCAAAGTCCTAATTCCCTTCTTAAGGTAGGGAAATATATGATCATGCCTTAACACACTAGATGTAGTCTCATTCTGGAAAAACATGCTAAAACCATGAATGTTTAGCCAAACACTTTCAGAATGCTGAGGTTTTATTTTTCTTCAATAGTGAATATTTACAATTTAACAAATATGGCTCCGGGACTTGTGAATAAAACACAGAATTTTAAAGGAAACCTCTAAACAAAGGTAAAAATAAATCTGAAATAGTCTAATAAAAAGAAAATGGAGGTGTGCTTTATTTCACGTTTCCACTGACATAAAGGACTATTGTTTGAAGATGGTGAGCAGCTAATTTCAATGTTCAATGAGAACAGAACAAAGGGAAATGATTCAAAAAGAGAAATAGGGTATATGGATTAAATTCTAAGGATTTCTGGATGAAGGAGGTTATCAAATATTGGAACTGAAAGGTTAGATTGTCTGCTAAATGCCTTTTACAAATATTTGATTCTTCTCTGGGAATGCTTAGTGGATCAGAGGGATCCTATCGCTAGGAATAGAAAGAAACCCTGCCCCCTCTGTGTGGCCCGTCTATAGACTTTATGGGGCTGTTTTTTCAAACATAAATAATCAGGTTTCCTTGCATACCTCAATCAAATAAAATGCCTCTCTTTATTGCTTTAGTCCTTTGGTAAATGTAGGTTAGGAAAATGAACAGCCAAAGTCTGTTCAACCCTGGTTTATAGAGCATACATTTGACCTTCGTGAGGTATAAATCTATGTGGAAGAAGAGAGAACAGAGCGTTCAAAATTGTGAGAAATGAGATTAAACTGTAACACTTGGGGATTCTCTAAAAATCTTCCCATTCTTTACTTTTACTTACAAAATATGTCAACTGGAAATCTAGACTCTAAAGACTTATAGCTTGCTGCTAACCTTTGAAGGGTGCTGACTTTTGAAGCACCTATGGTCACTGAAGGCAAATGAAAACAAACAAAAAACTCCCTAAAGGTCCATCCTAGGAAGTGAGTGGGGAGGCTAAGAGAAAAGCTTACTTGGCTCTAACAAATTGTTTATTTCTTAGAAACAAATCTTTTCAGAACTCAGACACTCTGCTGAAAAAAGCAGAATTACTTTAAGATATTCTTTAGTCCAGAGGAAGTAGAAAGCTGTCTTTTCAGAAAAGAGAATTTAAAGAGTATTTAGAACATAAATTAGCCTTATCTTTCCAAAGTAGACACAAATTTATATATAAACTGAATTTTTGTAAATTATGTGTTTATTAATAATCTTACATTATAAATCACATACTTTAAATGTAGTTATAGCACTCCTCTTTTGAAATCTACTACCTCATTTTTTTTTTCATTACAGTAATATGTTATAATTTTTCCAACTAGTTTGTTTCCATTTGGTTACATTGGTTCTTTTCATTGTTTTCTCTACAGTGATTCACAGAATAGATGATGTTCACTTTACCTTTTACCTCTTCCCAGAATGTTCCCAGGGGTATAAACAGGGTTATGCAAAAATTCCCAGCAGGATAGGTCTTTATAACTCTACTTCTTTCTCTTGTACTCAAGAAAGAACACTGGAATGCAAGTCAGTTAGAATAGTGTCATTAAAGGAATAACAATAACCTTGACTCTGATATGTTTATATATCAGAAAGTAAACATTAAAAGTTTGCAAGTTTGCGTACTTCAGTTGAAATTCGTAATAGGGTACTAGTGACCCAACTGAAAACAATCAGGGCAAACCAGTGTGTGGGATCTCAGCTGTTAAAGCCACTATTACATGGATGAGTCTTTGTTCAAGTAAATAAAAGTCATAGCTATA